TCCATGTCCTGTCCCTCCTGTACAGCCTATAGCCCTTGATAATCACCACCCAGTCATGCATTGGGTCCCACCACGTTTCAGTGATCCCCACTATGTCTGAGTTGGTGTCAGCTGGCAGGAGGGTATGTTCCTCTTGCTTGTTTCCCATACTACAAGCGTTTGTGTAGAGGCATTTGAGGCCTCCTGTGGATGTGTGCACTGGCCCCGTACTTTCAGCATTACCCTGGCCCCTGTTGCTTACCTGTGTATATGTTCTGCTCGTCAGCCTAGGCTGAGCTGTACTTGTGGGTGTTGCTTGGTTTGGCAGTCCAAGGCTTCCTCTGCCCTTGTCTTCCCCTTCCCCTAATGAGCCTAGTTTAAAGCCCACCGGAGGAGATCCGCCAACCTAAAAGAAAACACACGCTTACCTTTAGGGGAAAGGTAGAGACCATCCCATCTGAGCATGTCTCTTGTCGTGATGTGCCGGTCATTGTCGAGGGAGCCAAAGCCTGCCTCGAGACACCATTCCCAAAGCCGCCAGTTGGTCTCCACAATGCACGTTGCATACTGTCTTCCACGTCTGCTCACTGGTTGGATGGAAGAGAAAACCACATGTGCCCTATCTCCTTCAGCACACCCCCCAGAGCGTGGTAGTCCGCCATCAGGCGATCAGGGCTTCTCCTGGCTGCATCATTAGTACCCACATGGATTAGGACCATGGGGTAGTAATTGGTGAGCTGGATCACGGCTGGGATCATCCCCTTCATGTCGTGAATCTTTGCTCCAGGTAGGCAGTAGACCTCATGTGTTGAGGGGTCCTGGCAACAGATGGGGCCCTCTGTACCTCTCAGGATGTAGTCGCTTATGACGATCACTTGACGCTTTTTCCTCCGGGACCGCTTAGCTGCTTCGGCCTGCTTGGAACGTGGAGAACATGGAGTTGTCTCCTCTCTGATTGCTTCCTCTCCTTCCGTCTCCTCCAGAGTTGCCAGGGCCTCGTACCTGTTCTCCAGCTGGACTGGAAGAACTGGTACTGCTGTGTTATGAGCAGCTCTCGTTCTGGACGTGACAGTCTGCCACTCTGCAGTGGAGGACACCTCCCGGTTGCAGATATCTATGTAACACCTTTGGGACAAGGACAGATATCAGTGGGTCCCAACTTGCAATTTCTTCACTCAGTCAAGATCTTCCACATATAGTTTATTTTGATACGTATGAACTAGTTTTTTAATCCACTTAATGTGCTACATTAAGTTTACATACTACAGCACAACATTCAACCTTTTTGGGTCAGTGTACCCCTGGCAGCCAGTCAAGTGGGGGGAATGGGGGTGGTTCCCCAGCAGCCAGTCAGTGAGTGGGGGGTGGAGGCCAGCAGCCAATTGGCGACTGGAGGGAGTCCCCCATACCCAATCAGCAACTGTGTTAGTGCCACTGTGCCGGAGGTGGAAGTGCCAGCAGTGGTGCCCGCTGCCAGGTACCCCCTGAGGCCATCCCAAGTATGTCTGCTGTGTGTGTGCATACACATGCACACACATTATACAGACATATTAAGGCATGTAACTTAAAGCACAGCATTCCATACTGTAATATATATGCTCACGCACATATGGAAAATGACGATTGGGAGGGACCGCAGGAGGACACATCTAGTCCAACCCCCTGCTCAAAGCAGGACAGACGTCAACTATGTCATCTCAGCCAAGCCAGGTCTCAAAATCCTCCAAGGATGGAGATTCCACAGCGTCTCTGGGTAACCTGTTCCTTTGCTTTACTACTCTTGTCATGAGAGAGTTGTGCCTAATATCCAACCTCAACTTCCCTTGCTACAGTGTGAGACCATTGCTTCTTTTTTTTCTCATCTGCCACCCCTCCGAACAGTCCCTTTTGTAACCACCCTTCAGGCAGTTGAAGGCTGCAATTAAATCAGTCTTCTCTTCTGCACACTTATTAAGCCCAGTTCCTTCAGTCTCTTCTCAGAAGTCATGTGTCCCAGCCCCCTCACCATTTTCATTGGCCCCCTGGACACTCTCCAGTTTGACCACAACCTTTCTGTGGGTGACCAAAACTGGCCACAGTGCTCCTGCTAATGTAGCCCAGTGTGCCATTAGCTTTTTTTCACAACAGTGCCGCACTGTTGGCTCATACTCAGCTTATTGTCCACTGTAACCCCCAGGTCCTTTCCTGCAGAGCTGCTACTTAGCTATTCAGTCCCCAGCCTGTACCCTGCATAGGGTTGTTCTGTCCTACATTCAGGACTTCGCACTTATCCTTATTGAACCTCATGAGATTTCTACCCTCCAGCTTATCTACTGCTCCCCCCAGCTTGGTGTCATCTGCAAACATGCTGAGGATGTACTCCAACCCATCTTCCAAATCATTGATGAAGGTATTGAATAAAACCAGCCCCAGAACTGACCCTTGAGGTGCTCAACTTAATATTGACTACCAACTAGACATCGAGCCAGTGATTACTACCCTTTGAGGCTGACGATCCAGCCACTTTTCTATCCGCCTTACACCATACATGAAACCTGTATTTCCCTAGTTTGCTTGCAAGAGTGTTGTGGGAGACCATATCAAAAGCCTTGCTAAAGTCAAGATGCATCACATCCACTGCTTTTCCTACATCCATGGACCCAGTCTCTCATCATAGAAGGCAATTAGTTTGGTCAGGCAAGACTTGCCCTTGGTGAATCCATGCTGACTATTCCCAATCACCCGTTTTTCCAAGTGCTTAGAAATGGATTCCTTGAGGATCTGCTCCATGACCTTTCCAGGGACTGAGGTGAAGCTCACCAGTCTGTAGTTCCCCAGATCATCCTTCTTCCCTTCAAGATGGGCACTAGATTTGTCTTTTTCCTATCTTCCAGGACATTTCCTGGCCACCATGAGTTTTCAAAGAAAATGGCCAGTGACTTTGCAACCACGTTTCTCAACTCTCTCAGCCCCCTTGGGTACATCACATACAGCCCCATGGGCTTGTACACGTCCAGCTTTCTAAACAGTCCCTAACATATTCTTTTGCCACCATCAGATGCTCTTCTTTTCCCTAAAGTGTGCTGCCAGGCACAGTGTCTGGGAGCTGACTTTGTCTGTGAAGACTGAGATAAGGCACTGAGTACATCAGTCTTTTCCACATCATCTGTCACTAAATCTTCCTCTTGTTGCTGACACTTGTAGAAACTCTTTTTGTTGTTCTTCCCTTGCTAGCTGCACCTGCAGTTACACTTTGGCCTTTGATATTTCATTCCTGCATGCCCAAATAATACTCTTATACTTCTCCCTAGTAGTTTGTCCAAATTTCCACTTCTTGTAAGCTTTTTTTTTTTTTGTGTGTGTTACCAGATTGAAGAGTTCCCTGCTAAGCTAAGCTGGTCTCCTGCCCTAGTTGCTAGTCTTCCTCCCTTATATATAAATGATTGATAAATAAATAAATAAATAAAAACTTCTATTGACCTTTGCAGGGAGATAATGTCAAGTTTAACATATTCTGACTAATATAGTTTACTGATTACATCTTATGTCAGTCTTTCCTTAATTTTCTATGGGAATTAAGGTCAGGATGTTATTCTGTAATTGTTACAGTTCTCCATTCCTTCCCTTTTTGTGCCCTAATCAAGTTATGGCAGCTGTCCAGTCCCCAATGTTTTAAGAGTGAAAGGTAAAGTGGAGCACCTTATCCACAGGTTCTTTTACTTACTGCACAGTAAGAGCAGGCATGGCAGAACTGTAAACTTTGTGGGGTTGGGAGTTTGAATATTGATTTGCCCTTCTATTTGTATTCATCACATGCTCCTGTTTCTTGACTTTTTCTGCCATACTTCCTAATTTGGTATGAAGAGGATTCTTGTTTATGTGGCTGTTAATAAATTCTGTTGTTGACCCCATTTGGCCTGCTCCCCACCATGTGACAATATGCCTTTGTGGGTGTTCCTAGTCAAGCCATCCTGTGTATATGTGCCTCAGAAGGAGGAATGTTTCCCTCCCATATAAATCAACTAAGAATCTAAGGATGATCGTAGAGCATCTAGGTCTTACTACAGTATGCACATGCAGGAAAACTTTAATTGAATCATGAGAATAAAAGCAGGTATTGTTTTTTTATTTCTTTGCAGGCAGTATGGGCTCTTGGCAATATTGCTGGAGACAGCACCATGTGTAGAGATTATGTATTGGACTGCAACATCCTACCCCCTTTACTGCAGTAAGTATGTTTTGAGAAGGGTAGTCTCTGTTTTGCTGAAGTCTGATGAAACTGAAACTGAATTCCGGGATAGCCAGACATGTCAAAACAGTGTGTGATATGTGTAACTGTGAAACTGAGTCACAAATTCAGCACAGATGAGAGCTACTGCTTATACCTTATATGACAGCCTAATAAGCAGAACATATTTACCACTGATAGTGGAATGGGTAAATTCACTTTTAATTGTCTCTTACTGCTGTGTAGGAAAGTTTTACGTAAGCACTTCCCCAGCAGCACAAACAGCACAGATTGGGTTCTTCTCATCCTGTATTCACAGTGCTGGTTTCCCGATTTTGTTGTTAGCAGGGTTTGTATATGAGGAGAAACTACTGAAGGAAAACTATGTCAGAGGTGAGTCTGTATTTGATTCTGAAAGTAGTGAAGTCTGTGGCCAGTTCTGTTTGTGAAAGTGAGTTCTGGCAGGTAGATCCAGCTCCTGTGAACGTTTTTTTTGTTCTTGTGGAGTTTTCTGTACTGGTCATTATTTTGGAATGTAGCTGTTCTGAGAGCTTGGGTTCGGAGGTTGTGTAGCTGATGAAGGACTTTGAATATCAGGAGTGAGAGCTGAAACTAAATTCTCAATTCGGCGGACAGCTAACACAGAATGGCACACTGAGGAAATGCGGGTTTTATGCTCAATACAGGGAGGTGTACTGTGTATCAGCTGGAAATTTTCAGGGTTTGTTGCTTCATTCTTACTTTGTTCTTAATTTTTACATAGTGTTGAATATTTGGGGGCGGGGGAGCCCTTCTGTGTCTGATAGCAAAGTCACTTTTACCCTAAAGTGTGAATATTCCTCAGGGTGCTCTTGCTTCCCTGTCTCTTTAGATTCTGCTTCTCTTGGCTAAACTGTATTTTGTCATGAGCAAAATGAGATTTCCTACATTGGCTTGCATGAGAGTATTGGTATTTAGCATGGGTAGGGCTAAGGGCCTAGACTAGGGGTGGGCAGTTATTTTGGGCCTGAGGGCCACAATGGGGAGCTTTGATGAGCTGTTGTGGGCTGGGTCAGCACCTCCCCACCCTCAGCAACTCACCAAAACTCCTTATGGGGCTGTGGTGGGGGTAGGGAACAGTGTTCAGGAGCAGGAGGGACAAGTGAGGTTGGAATCATGAGGCCAGATCCCCAGGTGGTGACAGCTCCAGCCCAGGCCCTGGGACCTACTCTGTAAGTGACTCTACCCTCTAGGAAGGGTTGTGGGGGAAGGTATTGCCTGGATGCTAGGTCCTGGGAGTCTGCCATGGACGGAGGAGAGATAAGGAGCAGTAGCCGCTGCTGGAGACAGGGGAAGCAGAGCAGCACCTGGCTGCAGCCAAAATGAAAGCTGTGTGTGCTGGCTATGGCTGGGGTTGGCACTAGGCCATGAATGCCAACAGAAGCCAGGCAGGGCTTAGCTCCATGCCAAGTGCCACTGGGGCAGCTGCAGGCCAGATCCAGTCACTTGGTGTGCTAGATTCAGCCCACTGGCCATACTTTGCCCACCCTTGGCCTAGATAGATTACATAGTTAAACTTGTGTAACATATATTGATTTTGTACTCAAGCATCTTATACCAGGACAGTAAGCACTCAAGGAACTGATGGTCATGATCCCCTGGGAGGCCAATTTGAGGGGGAAAGGAGGAGTGTAGTAGAGCTGGTTGTACTTTAAAGAAACCTTACTGAGGGTGCAGGAACCAACCATCCTGATGCACAGGACAGTTAGCAAGTATGACAAGGAACTCTTCAGTGAGCTAAAACACAAAAAGGAAGCTTACAAGTAGTAGAAACTTGGACAAACTACTAGGGAGGAGTATAAGCGTATTTCTCGGGAATGCAGGGATGAGATATCAGGAAGGCCAAAACGCAGGTGGAGTTGCAGCTAGAAAGGGACATGAAGAATAACGAGAAGGTTTTCTACAAGTATGTCAGCAACAAAAGGAATATCGGGAAATGTGTGGGCTCTTACTGAATGGGGGATACAACCTAGGGCATCCAGAGACATGCTCCCTGAGGCAGGGCTGGCATTTTAATTAGTGCAGTTCTGAGAGCAGTGTTAATTAAAAGTCCCTGGAGCGTCACGTGTATCAGCATTCCTGCGCTGAAAAATGGCAGTGGGGCACTTTGAATTAAAGCTTGCCAAACAAGCTTTAGTTTAAAGCACCCTGCTGCCATTTTCAGTGCAGGGACACTGATACTCGTGATGCTGGAGTCTGCTGGAGTGTAGTAATTTCCATGTGCCAGCAGACTCAGTTAATTACAGTGCATCAGAGCAGCCCCCCTGCATGTGTATAGGAGCCCCTAGTGACAGATGATGTGAAAAAGGCTGAAGTACTCAATGTCTTTTTTACGTCAGTCTTCACAGGCAAAGTTAGATCCCAGACTACTGCACCTGGCAGCACGGTTTGGGGAGGAGGTGAGCAGCTAACAGTGGTGAAAGAACTTGTTAGGGACGGTTTAGAAAGCTGGACGTGTACAAGACCATGGGGCCAGACCCAATGTACCCGAAGGTGCTGAGGGGGTTGGAGATACGATTGCGGAGCCGCTGGCCATTATCTTTGAAAACTCACAGTGATCAGGAAAGGTCCTGGAGAATTAGAAAAGGGGAAATCCTAGTGCCCATCTTGGAAGGAAGAGGATCCAGGGAGCTACAGACTGGTCAGCCTCACCTCAGTCCCTGGAAAAATCATGGAGCAGGTTCTCAGGGAATCCATTTCTAAGCACTTGGAGGAGAACAAGGTCATTGGGAACAGTTGGCATGGATTCACCAAGGGCAAGTCATGCCTGACCAACCTGATTGCCTTCCATGATGAGAAACTGGGTCTATGGATGCAGGGAAAGCAGTGGATGTGATGCATCTTGACTTCAGCAAGGCTTTTGATATGGTCTCCCACAACACTCTTGCAGGCAAGCTAAAGAAATATGGGTTTCATGAATGGACTGTGAAATGGATAGAAAAGTGGCTGGATTGTTGGTCTCAAAGGGTAGTAATCACTGACTGGATGTCTAATTGACAGCTGGTATCAAATTGAGTGCTTCGAGGGTCAGTCTGGCTCTGGTTTTGTTCAGTACCTTCATCAGCGATCTGGAAGACGGGTTGTAGTGCATCCTCAGCATGTTTGCAGATGACACCAAGCTGGGGGGAGTAGTAGATATGCTGGAGGGTAGGGTTAGGATTCAGAGAGAACTCAACAAATTGGACAGCTGGATCAAAAGAAATCTTATGAGGCTCAGTAAGGACAAATGCAAAGAAAAAGACCTGGGCATTACAGTGGACAATAAGCTGAATAGGAGGCCAACAGTATGGCCTTGTTGCAAAAGGCTAATGGCACACTGGGCTGCATTAACAGGAGCACTGCCCAGCGGATCAAGGGAAGTGATTATTCCCTTGTTTGGCACTGGTGAGGGTGCATCTGGAGTACTGTGCCCAGTTTTGGGCCCCCCGCTATAGAAAGGATATGGACAAATTGAAGAGAGTCCAGGGTGAAATGAAAATAGGGTACTGGGACACATGGCTTCTGAGGAGAGACTGAACGAAACTGGGCTTATTTAATCTGGAGAAGAGAAGACTGATTTAATTGCAACCTTCAACTCCCTGAAGGGTGGTTACAAAAAGGGACTGTTCTGAGTGGTGACAGATGAGCGAACAAGGAGCAATGGTCTCAAGTTGTAGCAAGGGAAGTTGAGGTTAGATATTAGGAAAAACTCTCAAGAGGAGGGTAGTAAAGCACTGGAACAGGCTACCCAGGCAAGTTTTGGAATCTCCATTCTTGGTGGTTTTTGAGACCTGGCTAGACAAAGCCTTGACTGGTATGACATAATTGAGGATTGTCCTGCTTTGAGCAGGGGGTTGAACTAGATGTGACCTCCTGAGGTCCCCTACAGCCCTAATTCTCTTTGATTTTATTATTACAGTGACTAAGCTACAGACAGAGAACACCTATACTAATATGTTGTTGTAGTTACACCGCATGAGTCTGTTAGGGATTTGTTACATTTTCACTTCTTTCACTGTTCAGACTACTAAGCCATTCAGGTTTACACCTGTGCTATCATAGGAACTGCCCAAGTGGGTCTTGGTCTCTGTCAGGACTTGCGCTTTGATCTAAGAAATATTATCTTGGCAAGATTAGCACTTCTTCCACCAGGACTCATGTGATCTGCTTGGGTAGTATTCCTTTATTAAGTGCATATGGAACAGCAGCACAGTCTTTATCTCTCTTTCACTGGTACAAACCTTTATGCTTTATCAGGTAGGACATAAGTGTCATTTGCCTCCTGCCCTGAGCTAGATTCAGTCTTGTTCCTATTTGGGATTGTTATTGGCAAAGGAATAGAGCACAGGTCGTGCTTTATGCTCTTGATGATGGAGAGAAGGATGGCATTGGGGTGTCAGGGAAGCGTCAGGTTTTTTTTAAAAGGATCTGAATTCATGTGTATGGAATACCTGCATAACACCCAGACTGGCATCTGTATAGACAGCTCATCTACCCACCACAGTTATGTAAAATAAGTAATTTTTTTTTTTATATTGGAAGAAACCTAGAATTAGGTACGCATGCTTTGGGTTCTGAAATGGAAATACTTCATTCTTCCCCATCAGCTGCCATTGCACAAGAGGATTTTTGTTGCAGTGAATAATGCTGATAAACAGCAGGGGCTTGCTCAGTGAAAAGACAATCTGCTTCTGACTAGGCTGGGGACATTCAGGAAGTTCTGTTATTTGTCAGTAATCATTTTATAGGTCTCATTGCCTTTTGTAAACCTACTGCTTGCTCAAGCTCTATCAGAGATCTAACTTTAATGAAATTGTGCAGCCAGGAGAGGAGCTTTGTAGTATGTTCTTTCACAGAGACTAGGCTCACTATCTGAGTCTTCAGCTGATTCAGCAATGGAGCACTTGAGCCTGGAGAACTTTCTTTCATAAAGAAGGCATCTTTAATATAACTTCTGGGCCTCATTTAAAGGTCCTGTTCTCTAAAACAGTTCAGCCAGGTTGTGAGCAAAGCTCCTGAACTGACTGAACAGTTCCATAGAGATCCTGATATCTATCAAAAGAAGTTACTTGGTCAAACTCATTGCAAATGCTTCTGGACTAGTAAAATCCAGTAATAGATTGAAGGCAGAAGTTGTCTTCTACCATTGATTCTATTTAACTAGTGACTTATTTTGATGTAATCTTTCTAACCTATTTTCCATTGACTGAAGTTGGAAGAACTTTAGACCCTGTGAATGCTTTATTAATTAATCTGTTAATTAACACTACAGTATGTTTTTCCTTTGAAAGATTTTAAAAGAAACGGGCTGATGGTTGTTTTTTCTGTTCAGATTACTTTCAAAACAGAATCGTCTTACCATGACACGGAATGCTGTATGGGCTCTATCCAACCTCTGCAGAGGGAAGAATCCTCCTCCTGACTTTGCCAAGGTAAGAAACAAAACATGAAAGAAAACAAGAGAATGAGAGGTTGAGGCATGGTGCCCAAAAAAGGGAGGAGGAAGGAACTGAGATGTTTAAATTAAACAAAAAATGCACAGAAATTGTTAGGACTTTCAGAAGTCTTCCTGAATGTGCTTAGTATAGCTGAGAAGTGTGTAGATTCGTAGCTTTGAAGATGTGTGCAATTTTTGGGAGATTTTTTTTTTTTGATCTGCAGAATCTTTTGCACTTGGTGAAGTCTCATCTTGTCTGTCCAGGTGCTAACTCCTGGGAACATACAGCACGTAACTAGTTTGACAACCAAGGAGCAATTGATAGTGCTCTACATGGCAGTCAAAAGCCCATCGGCCTGCCTAGGACACTGTTCCAAGTAATGCATATTGGCAGGCTGCATAGTTGCTCAGTCTAATGTTTTGGGGCTGTTGCGAATGTCTCAGGATTATTGCCATTTCCATAAGCAATAACATATGTTCACAGGAAGAGGGTGTGGGGCTCCAGATAGATATATGCAAGACCTCCTTCTAGTGCAAGGATGTCCAACTCGTGAGGTTTTATGGGCTGGACGAATGGCATGGGGCTTGTCAACAGCCCAGACAAATGGAGCTGGGCCAGCCAGTCCATGGGACCGAACAGGCCCGCAGACTGGCTCTGCATGCAGGATCCAATGCACAGGGCTACAGTACCATGAGCACTGCATTCAGTGTGCACCCCAGACTGGCCCCAGGTGCTATGTGCAGTATGTGCATTGAACTAGCTGTGCATCCATCTTGACCTCTGCACCACATAGGGCTGATCCAATGATTGTGCCCTGTGTGGCATGTCCGAGACATGGGATGGTGTTCTAAGATGATGGATTGCTAGGAAGAGATGGGATCCACCCGATAAAGGGAGGGAAGAGCATCTTTGCAGACCGGTTCACTAACCTGGTGAGGAGTGCATTAAATTAGGCTTGCCAGGGGATGGAGACCAAAGCTCTCTGGTATGTGGGGAAGCAGGTGACCTGGAGGTAGCACAGACAGGAGGGGGCAACAGGGGAGGCCTTCTCATTCATCCTGAAACAGTAGGGCAATTAGCTAGTTACCTCAGATGTCTGTTCATTAACGCATGGAGCCTGGGAAACAGGCAAGAAGAATTGGAAGTCCTTATACAGTCATTGAACTATGACATCATTGGAATAACAGAGACTTGGTGGGCTAGCTTGCATGACCCAGCTGTGACAGTTCTCCAGTATAAAGTGTTCAGGAACAACAGGCAAGGAAGAAGAGGACTTGCTCTTTATGTAAATGAGCTGTATGATTGCTCAGGGCTCCAGTGTGAAACTAGAGATAGGCCGGTTGAAAGTCTTTCGGTTAGCAGGGGGGAGAGCAGCAAAGTGACATTGTGGTGAGGGTCTGCTATCGACCACCAGACCAGGAGGATGAGGTGGATTAAGCTTTCTTCAAACAGCTAGTGGAAGTTTCCCCATTACAGGACCTGGTTCTCATGGGGGACTTCAGTAACCCTGACATCTGCTAGGAGGGTCATACAGCAGTGCACAGGCAATCCAGGAAGTTTTTGGAGAATGTTGGGGACAACTTCCTGGTGTAAGTATTGGAGAGGCCAGCTAGGGGCTGTGCTCTCCTTGACCTGCTGTTCACAGACAGAGAAGAACTGGTGGGGAATGTAGAAGTGGATGGCAACTTGGGCAGCAGCAACTGTGAGATGATTGAGCTCAGGATCCTGAGGAAAGGAAGGATGGGAGAGCAGCAGAGTAAGGACCCTGGACTTCAGAAAAGCAGACTTCAGCACACTCAAGCAGCTGATAGGCAGGATCTCTTGGGAGGCTAGCGTGAGAGGGAAAGGAGTGCAGCAGAGCTGTTATACTTAAAACAAACAAAAACCTTACTGAGGGGTTAGGAACTGGCTGTGGGGAGAGCTGCCAGGTCCCTATGCAAACTAGACCCAACAATTGGGGATCTCTGTAAATTGCAGGGGAAGTGCTTCCAGCAGCTGCTTCTTTAATTTTTTTTCATTTTGCTGCTTACCCTGCCCTGACCCTGATTGGTGGAGGGGCCCTGCCGGCCAGGCCACTTGCCGCTGATTACTGGGGAAGTGAAAACCACTGTTTTAAATGTGCTATGGTTTTTGCCTCCCCACTGCTGACTGGGAGAGGGACCCCAGTGGCCCCACCGCTTGCTGTTGACTGGCAGGGAGGCAAAAACCATGGCATATTTAAAACTTTGTTTTCATTTCCCAGAGATCTGCAGCAAACAGCTCAGGTGGTGGGGCCCTTCTGCTTATCAGGGCCTGGGGAAAGCAGTGAAATGAAAAAAAAAATTAAAGGACCTGCTGCAGAGCACTTCCTCTGCAATTTATGGAGATCCCTACCAATGATGTCTCACTGAACTATCTAGCAGCTAAGGCACTTGACCTCTATTAGTACTAAGCCAGTCTGAGTGAAACAAAAATAATACGGCATGGACTCAAGTATCATTGCACTATAGCAGGAGTATCAAAAACATGGCCTGCAGAGACCTATCATCCAGTCTGCAGTGCTGTTTATGAATAACAGAATCATAGAAAACTAGGGTTGGAAGGGACCTCAGGAAGTCATCTAGTCCAACGCCCTACTCAAAGCAGGACCATCCCCAACTAGATCATCCCAGCCAAGGCTTTGCCTGGCCTGGTCTTAAAAACCTCCAAGGATGGAGATTCCACAGCCTCTCTGGGTAACCTGTTCCAGTGTTTTAGTACCCACCTAGTGAGAGAGTTTTCCTAATATCTAACCTAAACTTTCCTTGCTGAAACTTGAGCCCATTGCTCTTTATTCTGTCATCTGCAACCACTGAGAACAGTCTAGCTCCATCCTTTTTGGAACCATCCTTCAGGTAGTTAAAGTTTGCTATTAAACCCCACCTCAGTCTTTTCTCCAGACTAAAGCCCAGTGCCCTCAGCCTGTCCTCAGAAGTCATGTGCCGGAGCCCCTAAACATTTTTGTTTTCCTCCACTGGAGTCTCCAATTTGTCCATGTGCTTTCTGTAGTGGGAGGCCCAAAACTAGACACAGTACTCCAGATGTGGCCTCACCAGCACTGAATAGAGGGGAATAATCACTTCTCTTGGTATGCTGGCAGCACTCGTACTAATGGAGCCCAGGATGCATTAACATTCTTTGCAACAAGGGCACGCTGTTGCAATACGAGTTGGATCATATCCAGCTTATAGTCCATTGTAACCCCCAGGTCCTTTTCTAGAAAAATTGACTCGCATATTCTGTATCTAATACTGAGGGAATCAGCTGCCTTGTCCTGTGTCATCTGATGCTCCTAGTTCCTCCAGTTATATGTGCTGCTGCATATATGAACATGTCTTCATTTCTAATGTTGAAGGAAGACTTATTCCTGCTTCTCTGTGGAGCTGGAGCTTTTCATAAGAGCACTGACGTAGGTCCTTAATGATTCCTCAGGTCTTTCAGACTGCATATCAGTCCACTGCCCTACAGAGTCAAGTGCAGGATGCTAGCTAATTTTGGACTTCTGCATTTCATAAACCATACATCTTTTTAATGTTTTGCAGGTTTCACCTTGTCTAAGTGTGCTTTCCTGGCTGCTCTTTGTCAATGACACAGATGTACTAGCTGATGCCTGCTGGGCCTTGTCATATTTGTCTGATGGACCTAATGATAAAATACAGGCAGTGATTGATGCAGGAGTGTGTAGAAGACTTGTGGAGCTGCTGATGTAAGAAATTAACTTAAAAGGATTGACTTGATTTCTTACTGTTACCCTTTTACCCTTTCTCTACAGTCCAGATTCCTACAAAAGTAAAGTTAAGTAGAGATTCTGCAGTAGTAGAAAACAAACATGGTTCATTGGCCTTAATGCCAGCAGTATCAGTAATTTTGATATGTATCTTTTAAAACTCTGTAAAAACAACAGTGGATGCATCTACACGTGAAATTAAAGTGACACAATAAACTCTGGAGCAGTTTGTGCTGGAGCCAAATTGCTCCCAGGTGCAGCATCTATACATGTGCCTGGGACAGCAGCAATTTGAGCTGAGTTGGAATGAGCCCCCAAATGGCTGGGCTGACAGGTCTCCATTTATGCCCCCAGTTACTATCTACATGCACCTTTCAGCACAGTTAAAGTACTCCATTGTAAGATAGTACTATCCCTGACAGTACTGTCCTACAGTGGAGTTAATTTACTGTGTCCTAATACAAACACGCATGTAGACTGATGCTTTACTATGGAGCTAATTAGTTAAGTGCGCAGTAAAGCACGTGTGTAGATGCACCCACTGAGACACAGCTGAGTTTTTATATTATATTAAATATATGGCATTTTATACTGGAGCTCAGGGCCATCCCTGGTGGAGGCAAATTGGAGCAACTGCTGGGGGCCCTGCAGAGCAAAGTGGAAAGGCTGTGGCTGTAGTTTAGCCCACGCACCTGCCTGGTGGATTGGATGGCTCTTTGCTTGTTCCGGCCAGAAGTTCCAACCGCCACCCATCCCACCGCGTCCGGTGTGCCGGGGCTTTCACTCCCCCTCTGGGCCCTGCACCCTGCTAGGATCATCTCAGCTAAAGCTACAAAAGTAGGCTTTGTCATTTTGGTTTATGCATATGGTCTGTGCATATCTTAGGAAGCTGTTATTGCTAAACAAGCAGTACATAGCTACATTAATGTAAAATCCTACAATATGTTTAAAAAGTAGGAAGGAGAAAAACCGAGAATATACAACTACCTTCATTTACCAGCTTGTGTGTATTAAACAGACTCAAGCAGTATTAAACAGAATTAATGATCATTTACTTAAAAAAAAAAAAAAAAAAAA